GTCCCAGTCCGAGAAAAGGATGGAAGGATCCTGTTCATATGGACCTGTCGTCAGACAGAACACTAAATAATAATAATAATAATCACAATAAAATGTCGCCATGTTTGTAGCAAGATCACGCTATACGCGACATACATTTACGAAACAACATTGAATGTGATAACAAAGTACAATTGATCTAGAAGAGGATAACTTTCCGATATTTAATGGACATTCTGACGAAGGATTGCATTTAGAATATTACATTTAAGTTTATATCGATTATACACCTGAAGATGGTTAATTGAAAACCGAAACATGTCTTGAAAAAGATGATGCTCTAATTGTAAATCGAATATTTCGATAGAAAGAGCATCATTTTAATATATTTTAAATATTAAATGTTAATTGTAGTAATAATATTTTAATATTTTATTGTGATTAGACGGTTAAAATTAAACAATTATTATCTGTTGTTCTGTACTTTAATTTTTCTATGTTCTGTGTATTTGTGAATTCTGGCCTTCGGGTGTTTGCCTCTTCGTTTTTACTTATTTCTTGGTTTGTTGGTTCTTTGGGTACTTGTCTATTGAATTTATCGATTTTTGTTTATTGTTTGTAGTTTCTTGGTATGGATCTTCTGTTTGATTTCTTGGTTCTTTTGTTAGACTTCTGAAATTTTGGACACACACATAAGCTGACTCAGACAATTTCTGTTTTAAACATAAGATATATAGCTACCTTCAGTATCAAAGGGCCTTCGTGTAGCTTTAAAATGTAATGAAAGTTGGAGCTAGGTTTTTAAAACTAGAGATGAGATGCATCAGGACACGCTGGTAAAACGAACAAAGCTGGTTCCTGGAGATATACAAATCTCATTGTCAGTGATGTGAGAATAATACTTATGAAATGAGGCAGCCCCTTGTAGTACATCCAGCCCGTTCAACACTAAAACGTGACCCGGGGATGGGGTGACGGATAAGCACCTTCGTGCAGAGCATCAGGGGCGTACAAAATTGTCTCCGAGCGCGAGTGTTACGTAGAATACTACTGAGCTTCAAGCACTGCTCAATTAAGGCGCATGTATGTTTTCCTAACGTGTTCCTTGATATTGGTATTCTCACACCATATTTCTTTGTGGTTACTTTAAATGTTTTATTTCCCACTTAAGCCTCGGTCTGCCAAGTTGCATCTTCTCACCAGATTCTACTTCACCTGCGACTGCTGCATTGCTTTCGATGCAGATCTGTTTTAAGAGTGAGGTTGAGTCTTATTGGTTATTCAAGTGAAAATTAAATTTCCTGAAGACGACTGCCTTCTAGCTTGCTGTACTGTTTAATCTCGTATATATTCACCGACGTTTCAGAGCTGCTTACTGCGTCCATCACAAGGGTAATACCCAATGACAGTCAACTTCATATTCGCTTCCGTGAGAACCGGAAATCTCACATTTATTTCCACTTATTTATAAAAATTAGAATCGAAACTTCCAGACTTGAAGATGGAGACATTGTAAAGAGAGACCAGTCCGCCAATTCCACACCGCCCCCTAAGGGAGTAAACCCCGAACTGGCTGTCTGAGGTTCGGAGTAATTGGTAAACTAATTAGACCTCCAATGCTCTGGTATAATGCCTTCAAGACATCGGCTACCACAGACAGCCCGCCCCACAGTTACTTGCCCACACCAAGTGATATTCTCTGAGACCTTAATACGACGCGTTAGTCCTCATACTTCAGGGAGGGGGGGCATAAATTATGGGCTGCCGAAAGGATTTACAAACGACCCCTGAGTAGATGCTAATCTCTTAGAGTACCCTCATGCTCCACCCCAAACTACAACATCCCTTTCGCCTTAGAGTTTTGGGGGCAGCAGTGTACAGCGTGACGTAATATATAAATCTGGGGCAAGAGGAGTCGGGTTGAAAAGGGGGGGGGGGCATTTTGATTAAGGAGCAGTTAAGGATCAGATAACCACAAACCATTTCAGTTTTGACCAGTTGAGCTGGTATCAGCTTCTCAACAACGATTATACTCCCTGGAGCTTGTGTCTTACATTCCATAACATAAAGGCAGTTTCCATTGCACTTAATTAAGTACCACGTCATAAAGGGTGGTACAGAGAAATGAGTTATAGCTTCATGAATTTTTAAACTCCGTGCTTGATGGAAATACGAGGTCAATTTCATGCCTAACGCAACTTAAGTTCGTCTTTTTCACTGACTAGATAACCTATACGAATCACATATCCTTAGAATGTGACGCGCCTCTAAACACACACGAAGATAGCAAACCCATTTAGTTTCCTGAGCTCTGAACTATTTCTTTCTCTGAGTTAATATTGTATACACAAGGAATAACATTTTCCTTGTATTGGGGGCGAGGAAATTAATTTTACAAACAGCAAGCCGTTTAGCAGAGACGTGCAAAGATTTCAAATTTTATTACTCTCAACCCAAGTAAGCAATTTTCGTCCGGAGAAATGTAGGAATGTGTTGCGGAGAGAAGAGATACAAATTTAAATGAAAAAATTCCCTTAAGAAAATGTTGTTTTTTTATAAAAATTCCAATTTAACGAATATTCCAAGATATACAAGGGTTTTTCTCAGCATCTGATTGTTACTCAGTGTGTCTACCACACTCCTTGAACTGAAAGGAACAATACTCATCACCGTGTTAAAAAAATCACACAATTGACGCTGTCCTGAGCTGGCTGAATGCACTTTACCATACTTTCGGCTAACTCTGCTGTTAATTCTGGAATAAAGTTTCTTCATATCTGAAACATTGTTATGTATATTATAAGTGGCATCTGTTTACGTGGACACTGGGCACATTACACAGGTCAACTTCAAAGATACGTGTATAGGTTATTATCGCCAGAGTATAAGCTTAATATACCACGCCAATGGTTCTCATCCTTCATTAGGTGTGGGAGCACTTGTTATATTTAAATTAACAAGGCTAGAGGTGCACTCAGGACATGTTTACAACCTCACTAACGGGACCCTCCCGTGCAAATACTCCTGCGAAACGCATAACAGATATTACACATATTCACAGAAAAGGACGTCATAATTCACTACATACGTACGCCACAAGTTACACTCAGTAGTTTTATTTAGACCTGCATTAAAAAGTATCACGCGAAATTTAAGTATCTCATGGCGGAAAGTGTGAAGATAACAAACAGTCTTGTGGGACGTTGTGCCGCGTAGTCTGGTAGAACTTTACCGACGTATCAGAGGTGCTTACTGCCATAATAATCAGTAAGCAACTCTGAAACGTGGGTAAACTAATACCAGACTACACGGCGCAACATCCCACAACATAACCATCTTAGATATGCAAGTCGACCTTGCACGTCGTGCACATTTTCCTAGCTCCCTCCAGGCGAATTCCGCTACACTGCCTTAAAAACAGGCCACGATCGACTATCAGACCGTTACCTACACAACGTGAATTATATTTCGAGAGAGGTAAACTTGAAAACGAGGGTAAAAAATGTAATTCTGCAAGCAAGAAATCTTTTTTGCTACTTTGGAATTCGATAAATGAAGATAGGTTACGTTGGGTTGGGTTAGGTTACGTTAGGTAGGTTAGGTTAGGTTCGGTTAGGTTAGGTTAGGTAGGTTAGGTTAGGTTAGGTTGGGTTAGGTTAGGTTAAGATTGCTTAGTAGATTTTATTAGGTTAGGTAACGTTTTGAAATTTTTTGTGACGTTTTGACACTCACAGCCACATCTAGTCACGCCGTTACAGTAAGTCACGCCTAGTCACGCCTAAGCACGCATGGTCACGCTTAGACAAAATTTGCAAATCTTCGTCGTATTTTAACTCTTAAGGTGATCTCTCATCAAGCCTTTATTGCAGGTCACGCCTAGTCACGCTTTGTCACGCTTAATCACGATTTGTAAATCTCCAGCATTTTTCGACATATTTGGTGACCCCTTGTCACGACGTGAGGTCATGCTTAGTCACGCTATGTCACACTTGTGCACGCGTGGTCCCTAAGTCACGTTTCGGCACGCTTACGTTATGTTTCGTAAGTCTCGGTTAATTTTGGCTACTTTGCAAAACATTAGATTAAGTTTCGACATGTTGGGTTAGGTTAGAAATGTTCGCTTGTATTAGGTTATGATAGGTTTATTTATATTAGGTTTGGTTATGTTAGATTAGTTTGTTAGGTTATTTAACGTTTTTAAAATCTTCGTAGCGTTTCGACACTTATGGCAACATCTCGTCACGCCTAGTGACGCTTTGTGACGATTGGTCACACTTTGTAAATCTTTGTCACATTTCGACACTTATGGTGATCCCTTTTCAGGACGTCAAAGCACGTCACGCCTGGACACTTTTCGGCACGGTTACGTTCTGTTATGAAAGGCTCGGTTAATTTTTGCTGATTTGGAATACGTTAGATGAAGTTTCGACAGGTTAGGTTGGGGTAGGTTAGGTTAGGTTATGTTATGTTAAGTTAGTTTAGATTATGTTTAGTTAGGTTATGTTAGTTCGTTGGTTTATGTAACATTTTGAAAATATTCCTCAATTATGGCTACATCTCGGCACGCAGTTACAGTACGTCACGCGTAGTCACGCTGTCACTAATATATTTAATATATATAATTAAAGATAACGGGGTGGACAGCGACAGCGGTAGTGACGAACCGAGTGATATGTCAGAAAGCGATGGCCTGTGAGGAGTGGAAGAAATGGAAGAGGACCGATGAGTTGTGAAGAAGATAATATTATCTAATACTCTCTGTAGTGTTAATTTTCTGGTGATGTGTAGTGTAGTGAATTCGACTTTCCTGTGTTACACACCGTGATGATATTTTATTTGGAGTGTACTGTACGCGGCCTGCTGCAATCCCTTCCAGCAAACTTCTGGTAAGTGACTCGCTCCGAGGTTCCAATTCACAAAGTTCAGAGGCCAAAAACGCTGGAACGCAGTATAGTCATACTCACCACGTGTCGGGGTGAGGACTCTACCACATGGCAGCAAAAGGTGGAATGATGACTCACCTCGTACGCGACGGTAAGACAGGTTTTCTCTTCTTTCAGTTGCTCACTGCGCGCCTTGTACTGCAACATGGTCCGCAGAGTTTCCTCCATCCTGGAACCAAACAGTTTTATACCCTTATTACATTTGAACAGAAAACTTTAATCTTAAAGTGTGCAACAAATATCACCCTCTCACCAGAACTGACTCAAAAGTTCCTTTCCCCTCACTGAGGAAACCAGAAGGGAAGATAGCAGCTGGGAGAAATAGGCGTGTCTAGGAGGATAATATTAAAGTGGCGCGTGGACTGAATTCATCTGCTGAGTGGCAGCTGTTGAGGACGTAATGATATTTCTGGTTTCATAAGAGACGGAAATTGCTTGACCAGCTGAGAAACTATCAACTTCCGAAGGGCTCAGCTCCTGCGTTAGTCACTGAAATGGTATCTGAATACTGTGAAAGAACGTCAAATAAGAACACTAAAGGCACTGAACGTCGCTGCAGCCCGCTTCGCATGTGGAAGGTCCAGAGTTCAAATCTCGGCAGACACTGCTACAGATATTATTACACGAGCCAACTGTTTCCACATCAAAGTGCCCCACATTGTGTTTCCAGCAGAGAGCGCGTGTCTGTGTCAACATTCCTTGTGTTTCGCACTTGAAGACGCGGTGTTGACATTGAAGGATGGTTGATACAACCATCTGAATTGCTTGTACAACCAATAAGACCGATGTCGGACAATGGCCAATTGATTAGGGGCCGAAGAGAATCGCGCCCTTGAGAGGGGCGCGGGTGTGAGGCAGTAAACAGCACGATCAATAATGGAGACGTCCATCAAACGTTTAGAAGTCGTTTTCCGCCTAGCAGGATTTCTGACGATACAATAAAATACGTGTTCATTAGAAGTACTGCTGTTTCAGAAATGTGCACGACAAACACGCTAAAATACACAGACGTCTGGCAGGGAGAGAAATTTAAATTATTTGGTGAATTCTATAAATTGTGAAGCAATTTAAACATATTGCTATTATAATACATAAGACTGGATCCTTTGACTTTGCCCCAGTTTTAGTTTTAAAATTAAAAACGACGTTTCGGACGGTGGATCTTCTTCCGTTTTCAGGTAAAAAGGAAAAAGTATAAACCCCGTCTTCTGGGGCCCCTAGTTGAAATCACACACACGGACATGAAATACCGAATCTTATCGTATAATAAAACACTGCGAATCGGTTTATTTACTAAGTTGGAATTAAAATCGGGTAATTTAACACCCGGGTATCCTGTCGTTTTAAATAAAAAACTTCCAGATTTGGGTCACATCCTCTTCACTCTTTATCCGTGCCTCATTTCGTTCAGTCTGCGGGTTTTAGTTGTGTCCCACAGCCCTCTGCACAAGGCGTTTTGATGCTGAGGATTATAGGGTGGTAGGTAAACTCCACGCGTAGGTGCTAAAGTTAGTTATCAGATGATAGATTATCGTCTCTCGAGTTGATTAGCTACACAATATTTGGTTATGATTTATAATCACTGAAAACGGCACGAGAAATACTTGGTTTTGGTACAATTTACTGTTAGATTTGGTGGTCTAACTCATCGCCCTGGTGATGGAGGCCAGCGAGGACCTCTGAAACGTCGGTAAACGTCTATTAGATCACACGGGGCTACAAGAAGACAGTCATCTTCTTGACAACCTGATTATAATCTGATTCAATTTTGAGACTGAAGTGATTTTTACACTTGATTATAACACTGCATAACTTCTTGGAAAAATAAATATTAACACAACTTATATGTTACCAAGACTGCACAATTGATTTTCAATTATACACGTTTTATTTAGGGGAACACAAACAGACAGCAAATTTAATTTCGCCCTTCATATTGAAGTTACAATTCATTAAATAATTTCCTTATCAGCGAGAAGAAATTTTTTTTACATCAGATTAAATATTCCCATCGCCACTACAAAATTGTTTCGTTTTCAGGAACTGCTGACTGCCGTCTTCTTTCCCAGAAAATTATATTCGTAACGTAGGAATAACAACGAAACCCCAGTACCTTTCATATTCCACAGACGGTACCACCTCAACCCCTCAGATATAAACCGTGTCTCCCAGCTGGTCTATTTATCCTCATATTTTAGACAGGTTCGCAAGGGGACAGAGGGTACAGGCCGGCCCCTTCAAAAGCAGCATCAACCCCCTGTTAAGAGTCAAGATTCTGTTCGAGAACCTCGTCGTTGCTTCATTAGCCTAACGCCATTCACCAAGGAAATCAGCTCCTTATCTCCCAACCCCCTTTCCTTCTTACCACCCCCGTCACTACCCCTCTACTTCCAACCCTATTGTTGCCATATTATTATGATCATCCCCTACTTCTAACTCAGCACCTGGCAACCATTATTAAAGTTTCACTCCCTCTTCATATGCGAAACCAACCCCCTGTCGATATAGCAACCCCTGTTTTATCAAAACATTCCGCTACATCCGCTTGCAAACCCCCGGTACTGCTGGATGCCAATCAAATTTGCTGAAACGTAAAAGAGAAAGGGGGTGGGGTTTGTATTTATGAGGGATGCGAAAGGAGATTTAAGAATATGCAGGAAAATGGAAATAGCATCGGGGAAGGTAGACGACCTGGCACTCTGTCAGTTCAGAAAACCTGACTTGTCTTGCTGATTGCATAACGAAGAGGCAACACGCTTGGATGCAAGAGTATACGAACTACAGAACGGCTATTTTATGATGGCTCCGGGCAGGCGCAAGAGGGGAAGGCAGACAAGAATGGTGGGGGTAAAGTGGAACAAGGAGCTCCAATACCTGTAGAAAGAGTAATGGCAGAGCAGCTACAAATCCGATGGAAAATAATATGAATCTTTAATCACAACGAACACACACCACAACAATTTCGCAGGGCTAAGAAATGACGTTTGCATGTTCGCTGATATCACCTCGCTACGATGTAGAAACTCGACCTGCTTCAGCAAATTGAACCATACAAACCCCTAAATGGTACTTTTGAGCTGAGGGTAGACTAGACCAAGTTTAGCATAATGTGAAAAATAAAAAACATGATATAAAGTATGAATAATACGGCCATCAAAATAACAGCCATGTCTTTAATATATCGATGTCCGCCAGATAAACAGTTAAAATTACAATGCACAAAGTGTGTAAAAATTTATTAAGATGATTTTACGGTAACACGATATTTTGTAAAATGTTATGTTACCGTATTAAAGAACTACTATACATCTGAAGGTTTGTAACGATGGTGTATTTTTAAAACGACTAAATTCCTGAAGGTTTTGAATTTTCTGGAGACAGGGACTGGCTTTTTCGATTGGGCTCAACAGAGTACGTTTTTACCTGACGACGGAGACAGATTAAATTATCCAAAACGTCGTTTTAAACTAAAAATCAAGAAGATGGTTAATGCACAGGAAGTTCGTTGTTTTAACTACAACACAACTTGTTTTTAATCACTTTCAGCAAGGTGTGCAGTGACATTGGTTTCAAAATGTTTCGGTTGAAAGCGTTGAGCAGCAGAAATTCTCACGGCGTTTCACGTATTGATCAGAGGTTCGTAGTTTTCGTGCGTGCGGTGTAACGTCACCATAATTGAAACATTCAATTATTTACATCAACTTGCCATGTTTTATTGGGATATCGAACTCTTAAACTCCATCAACGCCAGAGACATTATACAAGCTCAGGATCTAAGGGAAATTACACCTGAAAACATATGTCATAATGTAAAATATAAATAAAGAAATAAAATATTTTATCAAACCAAAATATAATAAATTTAAAGATCAATAAATGTAAAAGATTACAGTCAATAAATAGAGTAGCCCGAGAAGACGTATTGTCCTTAATTAAACAGAATTCGTATTATTTTAATTATATGAAAAATAATTAAAAATGTCAAATACATAAATACTTGTCCTTAGGTTTTCGTGGCTGGACTTAAATTTCTTACTTCGGCTTTGGGTGAGAGTCCCACCGAACGTTTATTATTAATCACCATGTTAACAAACATTTAAGTTGCTACCCTGAAGATGGCAGCTGCAATATTTGCCGAAACGTTTGTTAATACTTATCATTCTACGCGGCTCACATCCGAAATCCGAAGTTATACGATATGTAAATAATAAATAGACCTGTTTACTCATTTTTAATATGACTGTTCAGGATTGGAAAACAACTCACTTTCGCTCTCATAGCTGAGATACCCAAATTCTTTCAGTTAGATGCCGGAACAGTATTTAACAAATAGTCCACTTTCTCCCCTGCCCCCGCCCCCCGCCAGGTCACCAATCAAAGTCGTTCTTACCGAGTGGGCGGGTGTAACATAAACGATCTAGCCTTCTATTCGGTAGATACCATGTTCAAACTCCTGTCGAATTACTGCCTGTCGTGACTAAATTACCAGGTGCGATCGGAAAGTTTCTAGACTGTGCGTATAAAAACCCGTACACTTATCTCAGGTATTAAATTCATCCATCACACTCGAAGTAGTTCCCCTGGGAGTGAACACAACGATCCCAGCGCCGCTGCCAAGCCTGGAAGCATCCCTGGAAATCTTTCTTTGTCAGCCTGTCAAGCACCATCTGCAATTCTGCCTGAATCTCTTCTATCGTCTCAAATCTCCTTACCTTTAGCTGAATTTTCATCTTTGGAAAGAGGAAGAAGTCACACGGAGCTAAATCCGGCGAATAAGGAGGGTGCAGGATGACGGCCATGGTGTTTGAGGCCAAAAACTGCCGAACTTTGAGGGCGGTGTGCGCTGGCGCGTTGTCATGATGCGTCGCATGTGGAGTTCTTCCTTTAGAACCAGCTGCCAGGTCCCATAGCCTATCCCAACAAGGTCGCACAAGTCGTTGATGGTACGACGTCGAGCTTCGTAACATTTTCGGGCGTTGTGCTCGAAGATGCACACGCCATTCCGCAATCGCAGGAGGGTCGGTGTAATGCACTACCAAAACGCCCGTAACTAAGAAACAAATGCTAATTCGATGATGCCGGCTGGCACACTGATTCACTATGAATGTAGGCCGCACCCCCTAAAGGCAGAAGCTCGTACTACATCCGGTTCGCCCGCTATTGACACAG